TTTCACGTAAATGGGTAATTCCTCCTAAAGCCAGCCTTGTTGCACGTGAATAAATAAGCACGATGAAAGTGTCGCTTGGGTTATTTAAGTAGCATTGGTTCGTAAATGTGAATGGATCAGGAAATGGCACATGTTGTGTTTATGGATGAGACACACTGAAAGGTGGGAAGTGTTTAGAAGTGCCTAAACTTATTGTTTTTGTGTTAGAGGCAGTAAAAGGCGATCTTATCATGCTTTAAAGAACAATACATGACCTCGGACAAGGACAAGGCTTCGAGGACATGCTTGAGTGGCGCATTTTGTACCGTTATTTGGTAGTGAACGAATCTGCTCTCGGAAAGAGCTTCACTGCTGCCTCCTTAGATGGTATGCAGTTGAAACGTCGAACGACATCCCTGAAATACTTGTGAAAGTGAATCGTTGCACTCTCAGTTTGTCCGATACCCTTTTTGTTCTTTTATTCCAACGCTTGCTCACGTCAAGTAGGCAGAGCAGGAAGTGGCGCGCAGGGACTGCCTGAGCCCGGTCGAGCACCGGATGATATCGATTTTCATGTGTCAATGCATGCCGTGGACTGCGGCCCTTGCAACGTTAACGCGACGCACGTATGCGCAAATCAATTTGCAGATAGATTTGGGGGACGCAAACGCGTACATTGGCGAGCTCGATAGGCCAATTTTTGCTATAAGGCAGAAGCCGCAACGATTTACTTTTACAAGTATTTCAGGGATGTCGTTCGACGTTTCAACTGCATACAATCTAAGGAGGCAGCAGTTAAGCTCTTTCCGAGAGCAGATTCATTCATTACCAAATAACGGTACAACATGCGCCACTCAAGCATGTCCTCGAAGCCTAGTCCTTGTTCGAGGACATGTACTGTTATTTAAAGCATGATAGGATCGCCCTTTACTGCCTCTAACACAAAAACAATAGGTTTTGGCACTTCTGAACAGTTCCCACCTTTCAGTGTGTCTCATCCATAAACACAACATGTGCCATTTCCTGATCCATTCACATTTACGAACCAATGCTACTTAAATAACCCAAGCGACACTTTCATCGTGCTTATTTATTCACGTGCAACAAGGCTGGCTTTAGGAGGAATTACCCATTTACGTGAAACCTACACTCAATTTATAGTGGACAATAGGAAACAGATAAAAATCTAGTTGTACGCTCATGCCTGCTTATAAACATGTGCACGCGTTTAATTTCCGAACATATTCGCTCTGGCCTACAAAGGAAGGACTGCGCAATCAAACCCCTCATACTGCAAGGTGGAGATTGACCGCAGACGATCAATTATAATTATAACAGCTTTCTTAT